TGAACTCACAAAATTGACTACCAATTAGATTAGTCCAAATACTTCTACTTTCATTAGATGCACAGTTTTTATCAAGCTAAACGAAATAAATGCATCTTCTGGTTCCTTTCCTCTCCACTCTAAGTATACTTCATTCAGCGTTTTCAAGCGACTTACTTGGGCGTACTTGGCATGTTACCATTCGGTTTTGGGGGCACTTCTGATAAGATAAACTCTTGATAAGACAAGCAAATGATAGTGGTCCCTTGGTGTTCATCTTAAAGGGAGTCTACTGGACTCTTCAAAGAACAAAAAAAGTTCGCATACCACGAGCACAGCCACATGCATGTGTGCGACCTTCCATGTCAACAAACTTTCCTTGGTGCTGCAGCTCTTGGGCTTTTATCATACGCACTGCATCTCGCCTAATTTCTATGAAAGGTACCACACACTATTTCTGTTTTCCACAGCCATTAGCAGCCGCAAGAACACGCCAAGTTTAAGAAAGTTATTCATTAACCTAGAGTTCTCTGGTGAAGGTGTAATGCTAACACTGCAGTGACTTTCTGAGTTTCGTATGGCCCACTGTTGAGTTTTCGCATGCTCTTCAGATAAATGCCTATTCTTCACTGGTTGAATGAATTTGTGAAATGCGAGAACTTGCCAGCATAGACTTTGTTCCAACAACCGCACATGCATGAAAGTTTTCTCGGAAGTTGAATGCCCCTCAAATCTGTGCTTATGCTAATATCTTTGGCGGCGGAACATGCCAGGTGGATGTTCTGATCCTGAGCAACACATAAACGAACTATCTTCTGTTAGGCTGATTCAAGCACAGAGAATGACATTTGCATTTCTAAACAGGCAGATTAAAAGACAGGCCACTGGACGTAACCATAAGATAAAAACAACATTCGCTGTTTTGAAGTAGCGATACCACATCAGCTTCTTCAGAATGCTACGTGCATTGAAGATGCACCCTGCCTCCACGCCCCTCTAGTTGCCACTTTCCCTGACCGTTTTTTGTTACGTACCCTGTCCTTTGTCCCCCCCCCCTCCCCCTGCTACTCTGAGCACCCTGCACTGCCAGACGCGGCCCGTGTTTTCACACTGCTACCCATCTTTCGAAGACGGGTCGGCCATATCCCGTGTTTTAGATCACTAGTACTGTCGTTGACATTGCCGGCCTGGAGTGACCAGACCATTTGCCAATGTTGTCTGTATCCGATCGTCTGCGTCTTGTCTTATCGCATTGTTTTAGTGCGCACGCGTACACTACCCCACCTACTCTGATAATTCGCAATTCTTTTCGTGTTTAGGACCTGTTCTCGCTCACTTCGTACTTGGCTCAGCATGCCCTCCGCACACGTGCGGAAGCGTAAAAACGGCTGTTAATTTGCGCAGAACGAATCGCGAAATATCGAAGTCGGTGAGGCCATGCAAACCAGCCGGCGCAACAACACGATTCTTTGACCACGGCCGCTGATTCTTTGAACACCGTCGCGCGCCGATCCAGGCAGTCGTGCTTAGACCTCTGCGCGCGAGTTGCGCGTTTTGCTGACCTTTCAAGCAAGCTGCCCGACCTGCCTCCTTTCCGCGTGTTTTGGTGGCGACGCGACCAAAACACGCGGGAAGAAGGCAGGTCCGCGTCTGCGGAGGCAGGTCTGCCTCCTTCCGCCTCCACGCGGGAAGGAGGCAGGTTCGCGAATTGGAGTCCACGACGCCAGCCATGCTGACTCCAATTCAGATGTTTTGTTTTCGGACTAGAAACAGGCCCGGAGCTGTACCACGCGTTCTGGCATGTGTGTTGCGTGTGCGCGTCTTGCTCGCTTTCGGTGTGCATGTGTTGTCAAGATTGTGTACAAGAGGCCTTGCACGCTTTTTCCTGCCCCCTAACAAAATGACGAAAGCGTGACCGCTTGGCTTGGGCGTAATCCAAGCATTAGGTGCCGCGTTGCGGAGCGCTTGCTCATAGCTGTTGACCACCTGGCAACCAACTTGCCACTTCGGGCGTCCCTGTATTCAGCTGTGGAGATAATGAATATTTCGAGGGCGGTGGTGTCGGCTACATGCGCGCGAAATTGTTTGCGCGAGGCTGACTTCGTCGACGTCGGGCTTGATGCCGAGCCTGAAGATTCCGAACAGGACCACTCTGGCAACGATTTGTGGCAGCGCATCATCAACTCCGACCTGGCAGAGCGGGTGGGACATCAGTTGCGATGGTTTAATTACGGCCGATGATGATGCCGACACCGTGGAACCGTGCACGGATTATGGCATTATGAATTAAGAATGCGGCAAGAGTGATTTCGAGGAATCAGATTGCGAGAACAACGAAACTTAGGAGCCATTGCCTCATGCAGCTTACGCCATGGGCCTCAGCGAAGAGCACTCTGCCGTTTGAAATAAACTCGAGACCGCCCTTATCTCTCCTGCTCTTCCAAACACGTGCATCATAAAATTTTTTGGGCAGAAAATTTTGTGTTTTCACTCGCAACTTCTTTAAAAGCTGTTTCATTTACTACCAACTTCGGGATTCAGTGAACGGATGGCGCGTCAGGCTCAGGTTCGTTACAAGCAGGCTCGACTGTATCGGGGTCCGTGCCGTCAAGTTTCGGACTGGAGCGCAAAGGGCCCTACAGCGTGTGTCTCGAGACATCCTCAGAAACGGGCAATCCTGGGGACGAGGTGTACCAATTGTCCTAGCAGCTGATCCCGGCAGCTGAACTTCCATAAGCAGCAGACTTTGCCTTCTGGGTGCTGAGCAGACTTTTGCTTCGAGTTGCCAGCCACGAGACATGCCGAACCATCTACCTTCAGCCTCCACACTGTGTACGTGGACAGGGAGGTCGCCAGCCTGCTGTGTCTGAAGGCACCTTCTTCTGTGACCTCAGCGCCAACTTGCCATCTCGTCGACTCCACGACTGCCCTCACAGCCAAAGGGCCACCAGTGAGCTTGTTGCCAACATCAACTTGTTTAGTTAAAGCATCACCAGTCGCGGCATCTATCTTTATAGAATTTCTAACTTGACGGTTCGCTTCGAATGCTTATTCCTTTTCTCCTTTCTCCGTGTGTCACAAAGTTATATTTCTTTTTGTGTGAAAAAAATGGCTTCTGATTTCTTGCCTCAATGAAAACAATCACAGCACCAAAGCCTTCATAACATTGAGCAAACGAGAATGTATCCACCAATTTATGCGACGTCGATGCTGTCGATGCTACACCAGTGGCACTTAGCACAAGAGATCTGCCAACTGCAGAATGAAACACAGAAAGCCTGCAATGTATATAGCTAGACCATCGACATATGGTGACAGCAAGGAATTACGTTCAGCTTGTCCTCCAAGTTAATTTTTTAGGGAAGCTCACAAAAATACAGGTGATTGTCAATACCAATGAATCATACCTCAATTCTTATTTTTAAGTAAGATGAGCAAAACTTGATACAATTTTGGGGTACCTTCTGGTGAAATGTCTTTCTTGAAGAACTTCCTGGTCAGCTTGAGCAGATTAGAGTCCTACTACCAGGCAATGTTTCAAATTAAAGAAAAGAAAGGCTGTATCAATTGGGCGAGTTAGTGTGCTTCCATCTTGAACAAATAATATGGTGATGAAAACGAGGACGGGCACTGTAGTCTGTCTTTCCTCTCCTCGTTTTTTTTTTTTTTTCGTGCTATTATTCATTCGAGAAAGAAATGTAGTCGCACGCTTGTTTCTGGAACAAAAATGGCTGCTTGCCTTCACTTCACCCACGCAAGCTGAATAGATAGATGCTACGAGCGTTTCTTTTGTAACAGAGTGCCAGTGTCATGTGTGCCACTAGGCTCCAAGCACCATTCAGCTCCTCCTAGTGGAGTTCAGTAGACACGCAGCACCAAGCTGCTACAACAGCTAAAATGCAGCGAGAAGCAGCTGACTGAAACTATGAGTTGTCAGCCGTCAACACCGCCAAGTTGCACAGAAACGAAAACACACAACATTGAAGCGAGGTGTCGTAATGCACTGGGCAGGGCATCGTGAACGGCGTTGCTGTCTTCTTCAGAATGAAGCAAGAGGAGGGCAAGTGCATCAGGCAAATATAGCGATCACTGCCTCTCTGGTCCTACTTTGGCCTTTCAGAAAATTCTTTCGACTATACCTTCCTAGGAGCCATCCGACTCCTTCCAAGATGTTTTTCATGCAAACTGCGAGGGTGGTTCACTACCTCTTTAAGATGTGCAACTCTGGTAACGGCCCCTTAATGGTGCGAGTTTTCAATGAATTAAACTTAACCTTATGAGGAGCAATACAGATGCATTTATTGAAACATGTACACCAGTAAATAAGGTATTTAAGCAAAGTAATTAGCATAACACACAAGTGTTTTCGTGGTTTTTTTTTTTCATAGTAAGAAAAAAAGTTGCACTTTGTGTCACATGTCCCTTGAGTGTGTGTTTTTAAGCACAGAAGTGTTTTACACTGAAGCCTGCACGAAACAATGCGTGTCATTTCTGTCACAAAGCTGAAATCAATAAATCAATTCGACCAACATCACGACCAATTATTCGATCAACATCACTATTCGTGCAAGCCAAGTAGCACAGGGCACAAGCCACTGGCAGAAGATGGCTGACACGGACATGGGTGAGGCACCTTTGATACAATTTAAAGGTCTTTAAGAATGCATGATAATGACATCATAACCGACAACTGGCTGTATGCCAACAAATATCAATGTGTTTACTGCATGAGAGTGCTCAACCCAGCAACATAATTAAATTTTGGGATTAAAGATTCATTTTGCTGACCCTTTTCCGACTTCCATTGCATCACATGAGAATGAAATTATCGTGATAGCAATATTCTCGCTTCCCTTTCACTTTTTTTTAACATTGAGTTGTTCAAAGGCACTTCCACAGAGGCCCATTTTACTTTTGTGTTTTGAATGCAAGAGTGATCACTTTTTTCTAATTTTCAGCGTGCAACCATAAGTAAAGCCTAATCTACCGCAACAGCACACAGAAAGAGCATTGATACTCACAGGGGGTTGCGTGTGTCTGGCACAGAGCGAACTTTTCCCAGCCGGTTGCTGATGAGCACGTTGAATGCATGCTGGTGATAGCCCTCCACCTTCACAACAACAGCCCAAGCCTAATTAGGTGCACAACGCTCGCACATACACGCTGGTTTCATTACTAGTACTCAAAAGCCCACACTGCCTATTTATGAAAGATACGTGGCAATTGAATGTCATACGACAACATGACAAAAGCATCAAAAAATTTTTTTAATTTGTTCAACAATCTGTCTGATAGTCTGAAAGATTGGTCTTATGTCTTAATGGCTTATGTCCCTTAACCTGTCCAAATGCAAGTTTGTATCATTCAGTCGCAAGTGTAACACTTCCTCTTTTAAATATATCCTAAACAACTTACCTGTCTACCAAGCTTCCTCGTGCAAGTATCTGGGCGTGCATTAACTCAAGATCTTACTTGGTCCATCCATATAACTACTGTTTGTGCAAAAGCCTCCAGAACCGTGGGATACTTACGTCGTAATTTGAAACATTGCCCTACGAATGTCCGTAAACTACTCTATTTAACGTACGTCCGTCCTCAACTTGAGTTGGCTTCATCTGTTTGGTCCCCTTATCAAAAATACTTCATTTTTATGATCGAATCAATTCAAAACCGTGCTGCACGTTTCATCTATCAGAAATATAGCCGTCATTTTAGTGCAACTCAAATAAAATTTGATAACTTTCTCGTACCCTTGGAAACACGTCGCGCTGTTGCAATCGTTTGCTTACTTCGCAAATATGTAAACTGCCTTTATCTATTCCCCTTTCCCCTAGAAACTCCCGTGCGCATGTCAAATCGACTAAACAATCAGCGAAGTTTCAAACGCACTTATGGTCGCACCCAAGCATTTAACTTATCAGCACTGCCCACAGCCGTAACACTATGAAATGATCTTCCTAACAAAATTGTTTAATCACTGACCATACACTATTCCGCAATGAAGTATACCGGCATTACTTTCCATGAAAATGTAGCTCTGTATACCTGTGCATATCTGCAAATGTGTTCTTACTTTGTTTCTTGTGCTCACATTTTGGCACCATTTATTTTAAGTACCTGCCATTTATTCAACTTTGTATTAGACACCACCATTGTAACTACATTGTTTTTGCATGCCCTTCCTCTGTAAGTTGTGTTACATTACCACATTGTAATGTTTTGTACTCTGTTGCTTCTGTTATATTTTGTGTTTTCTTTTCTCGCCCCCCCTTACTCAATGTCCCTACGGGAACCTGTAAGATAATGTGAATGAATAAATACATAAATAAATAAATAAGTAAACAAGGCTTGAGCATTGACCACCGCCTCAAACTGTCAAACAGAGTAAATACAAATGAATGCTTTCTAGTTCAATAAAAATGAAGCAGGCAATGACACCATATACAGTCGAGCCCACATGTAACAGCCCCACTTAAAACGAATTTTTGCTTAAAATGAACAATATCCGCGTGACCATGAAAATATACATTGTTTCAATGGCCCAAAATCGCACTTACAACAAATGTCTCCAAGTGCCACTGATCAGGTACAAGGAACGGAGTCGGCGCACTGCCGACTCCCTAGAAGACCTCTTTCGACCACTGATCAGGCATCTGCAAGGTGCCCATAGATTCTTATTGTTAAACGCCGGCCCAACTTATGCACCCCTCTAGTTGCTGCTCTCCCGGAACGCTTTTTGTTACGCACCCCTCCATCCTTTGTCCCCCCGCTACTCTGAGCACCCCGCATCCCCAAACAAAGCCCCTGTTTTCACACTGCCACCGATGTTTTGAAGACCGGTCGGCCATCTTCCGTTTTTCATCACTGGTACTGTCGTTGGCGTCGCCGACCTGGAGTGACCAGATCATTTGCCAACATCCTCAGCTACCAACTGTATTCCATTGTCTGCGTCTTGTCTTATCGTTTTGTCCTAGCGCACACTACCCCGTTAACTCTGATAATTCGCGATTCCTTTCGTGTTTAGAACCCATTCTCGCTCACTTCCCACTCGGCTCAGCGTGCCTTCCGCATGCGTGCAGAAGCATAAAAACGGCTGTTAATTTGCACGTAACGAATCGCGAAATATTGAAGTCAGTGAGGCCACGCAATCCCGCCAGGGGAACAAGCCGTCAATTCTTTGAACACCGCCCCGCGCACCAATCCAGGCAGCCATGCTTTGACTTCTGCGCACGCAGGCACTCCTTCAAGTTTTTCTACGTGAGAGTTGCACGTTTTGCAGATCTTTCAAACAAGCTACCCGACCTGCCTCCTGCCGCGTGTTTTCGTTTTCAAGGCCACATTCCCGTCACCTCCTCTCCTCTCTTCAACTTATCGAAACTGCTTGCCTTTCTCTCGCAAATCTGCTGTCCTCTTTTGATCGCAACTCCTTCGCCAATCTCCACCGCTCTGCGATGCCAGCCACGCTGGCTCAAATTCAGAAGTTTCGTTTTCTGACTATAAACAGGCCCAGAGCTGTTCCACGCGTTGTGGCATGTGTGTTGCGTGTGCCTCATCCAGCTTATGCCACGGGTCTTGCCGAAAATCACACTGCCATTTGAAATAAACTGCTCTTCGAAACATGTGTGCTTTTGGGGGCAAAAAATTTTGTGTTTTCTCTCACAACTTCTTTAAAAACTGTGTTTCATTTACTATGAATTTCGGGATACAGCGAACGGATGCGCGTCAGGCTCATGTTCGTTATAAGCGGGCTTGACTGTACATAAGTCACATAAACACCATTCATTTAATTGATTTAATTAACCCTTTCTGAGGCACTACCTTCAAGATAAAATTTTTTTTTATAATCTGCAGAACAACATTTAGAATCCTTTCAAAAATGCTTCACACAATTTTCAAAAATTTCAACTAAATATATTTCAAGAAAAAAGTGTTATATATATATGTACCACTGCCTTTTTAACAGCGTGGCATAAAAAGTGGCATTGCTGTCCTCAGGTGTTACCGAAGCAAGCAAAATTCTGAAAAGAAAGGTTATTTATAAATTTATTGGGGCTGTTCACTCCACGAATTGTTTTAAAGGGGCCGTGCAACACTTTACTGCATGGTCAGAAAACACTGCCGATCGGTAGTAGAGGCTCTCGAGAACACACAAGCCAAATATTATAGCACAGCACGTGGCCTAGAATTGACAATGAATTATCAAAGTGAGCTGAAAACTGCTTTCCTTTCTCTTCTGCGATTAACACAGCTTGTTCAAATAAAAGCTCTGCTACAATAAAAATGAAAATCTGTGTATGTGCAATTGTACCAGTGCAATAGCTGCAGTATTAAGGCTAGCACCATCAGCCAAGATGAAGCCCAAAAATGGTTCTTTGAAAAAAATTGATTTGTGTTGCAAGTTGTGGGGGGTGCTATCACCTCCGGTAAAGTCATTTGCACCTCGTGGCATGTCTCACGAACAGGCCGCATATAGAGTTTACAACCATCAAGCGGTAGGTGGCGCGGTGCTCGTGGGGATATGATCATCATCATTATCATGTTAAGCGCAGTAGTGCCAAGAATGACGCCTGGCGGCGAGGCCGGGTGGTGGCACATGAGACATGAGAGGCTCTCTTTGGTGTGTGTGGTGGATGGCGCGAACGGTTGTCTTCCGCGGTGGGTCTATGAGGACGGTGCCATGAAATGTCTGCCGTGGGCCCCTTGTGGTGAGTAGAGCATTGGTGACACCGCCTTCGCGTTAACTTGTGTTTGTTTTATGTTTTAGCGTGTTGTTCACTAGTGATGTATTTCATTCGACTGATGATATTGTCTGTGTAAAGGTAGCTCAATAAAGGTTTTTGTTTGGTTTCATATGACATTGTCGACTGAGTTTGTTCGCTCCAAGAGTATGGTATCTTATTTTGAGAGCCCACAAAGTAAATTTAGGTTCTATTTTGAGAACAGGTAACATGGTACATGAAGTAAAGTAGCAAATTGGGCTAGTTGGAATGTACACATCACGATCAGCGCACAAGAAGGACAAAAAACACAAGAAAGTGCATGACACAAGCACTGTGTAACAACTGAAAGTTTAATAAAAAAAACAAGTCATATATATGCAGACATGAAGGCATAATAAAACCTTGCCACCCCCCACCAATCACGTAATCAAGTATGCTGTAAATACCAAATCTCAGCCTCTGTGAGAGCGATTGAAGGTTGGCTCATGCACCTGTATCCTGCTTTTATGATTACATAGGGTTCAGCAATTTCACGCGTGCACTCGTCACTATGAAAAAATGGGACACTTCACAGACATGTTGAAACAACCTTCTCAGGACGCCAATTTAGGCCACTGGAGCACTACAGCAGATAGCAAGCAGTAATCAAGGCTCATGAAAATCTAATTTGTTGTGTATGCCAGATGTTGCAGCCAAGTGAAAACTTGAATTAGCCTTTTGGTATACCTGGGTAAATGGTGCCACTAGTACAAAAAAAGTTTTTATTTATTATGGATGTTTGAAACGAAGTGGAAAGGTGATACACATTCATACCACTATCCTACAAAGGGTTAAGCTGCTTCACACAAAACAACAGCACAAGAGTCAAATGGCACAACAACCAATCACAATACTTCAAATTTTTCTTGGTATACTCGTAGAATCTCATGCATTTAAAACCTCATTTTAACAATGTACTATCATCTAAGTAATGATTATAATGTACTAAATATCTCAGAAATAAATGTAACCCAATCTTTTCGTATTGCATTCATCTTATGCAGGGTTTATGTGCTCAATCAGCCAGCAGTTGAGTCCTATCATGCATTACTATATAGTAATACCACTGCCACTATATTTTTATCTCTATTCACTATCACATAGGCCAGCACAGCTATGCATAGTTCGGGCATGACTTCACTTGCGTGCAGCTTGACTGTGATGTTGACACTGTAATACCGTGATGTTTTAGATATTGAGTGTGTCTACTAGGTCACATTTAGTTTTTGATCAATAAAAATGAACTACACTGTCCTCAGAAGGAGCCACAAACTTGACACATTAAGTTTTAGGAAATTTCATTGAGCCAATGTTAGCAAACTATGGAAAATCACTTTGAAATCTATGACGCTACGTGCAGAGATCTCTGCATGAGCTTTGAAAATGAAACTTTCACCTTGACTTTCTCCAGTTTTAATAAACACATGATGATGCAGGTAACGACATTAGAGTTTTCGGAGTACAATTTATCAATCTAAACCGATTTGCTTCAATGCTCCTTTGAAAAATGCTGCCCCTCGTTTCAACATGTGGTGGATGTTTGTGACACACATACAAACACAGCATAATTATGCAGTCACCTTCACTCGCTGATCCTCTGCGTTGAAGATTGCCCCGAGCCTTGATGCATCAGGAACTGCAGCAGCTCCAAAAGCGTCCACCTGTACAAAAGTTCCCATCACATCTCAGATGGCAAGAAGTGTTTGAATCATGTTTGTGCTGTTGAATCTCATGTTGAAAGCTTCACGTATGACAAAATGTGAATGGCAGCTTTAGTGCCATAATGTTTCACGATAAGTGACCACATACTGACCATTATCCAGCTGACTATAAAAGTTGCTTTTAGAGCAAAGTGTGTGGCAAGTGATGCACAAGCTGGTGTAAGTGCTATAGGCATCAAATGAAACATGAACAGCGGCAAGCATTAGCAGTAGGCTTGTGCGAATAGTAAATTTTAGCTTTAAAGCTAATAGCTAGTTTGGTGAAATAATTTAGAATCGAATTCAAATAGTATATACAAAAAATATTAGCATATTTCTCATGGCCCAACTAACCTGCACAATATCTTTTTTAATTAAACAAGGCATGTGCAAATGTCATTCTTTTTGTTCTAAAGGTAGTGGAAGCAACTTTGAATGATAGCAGAGATTGCAGTTTTTGTAGGATGCAATTGATAACCAGTAAAATGCATTATGTTTCAAAACTTACCATACTTAAAGCTTCTAAGCACGTATAATAACCATTTAAACTGAAAAAGTGATGAATCAATATGAAGGTACGATGTTCAGTTAACCTTGAAGTGAGGCTACGCAGCAAGGCGCATTTTTCCTGGACAAGTGTCTTCACGACAAAGCACCCCTCCAGTGCAGTGAAACCACCTTTACAAAAAAACTTGCATGCGGACAAACATACTCTTATTCGTTCATTTCGAATTTGTAATTTCCAAAAGTGCAAGTTTGAATCAAAGCAAATTAAAATACTGTAATATTTGTTTAAATATCCCAAGTGCTCCAATATCCGCACAAGCCAGTGTAGCAACAGTACAGTGCATGCCATTAAGTCATCATCACGGACATGCACAGAGTGGTGAAATGAGTGCTGTGCACCTGTCATGCACTGACTGAGTGGTGCATGCTACACCATTGCTAATGCTTGCTGTTGCTGGCATTTCACTTCGCGCCAATTGCACCGGAAGATCCAATGTTGGAAAGGACTCTCCAATGCACATGACCATCAAAGTGCTGGCACTACAGCCATCAGTTAAAGTTATCCTAATGAATGTCACAGGTGCATCCAAGGTCACTTATAGTACATACTTCTAATCAAATGTCACATGCTACACTGACAAGCTCTTGCAGCAGCAGAAGAACTAGGACAGATAAGCAAATGTTCATGATCTTTTTTTTTTTTGCTTTTTTCCAAATATGATTATGCACTTTCACAATGCATCTGGCCTCACAAAAGCTTGCTTTAGATAAATAAAAAAAGGGCATGTGCACACAGCGAGCACACTCAATTTAAGAGCCATAACTCATCGATACCCTTGAAGTAACAGTAAAATTCAACCATGTAATAACAAAACACCAAGGTAACAAAATTGTAGCAACAATAAAATATTTTCGAATTCCCAGAAAATGCCATCAAAATTCAACACATATTGTATCTCTTATAACAAAATACCATTAAACTGCTTTATCACTTGATTAAATTTGGTGGAACATTGTTTTCTATAGCAGTGCCAATTAGGTTCAAGATGTGTTGAAATGCATTTTATGCTTATGTAATTTTCCCAATATACTGTGTCTCAGCCCACTTGCATAAACACCATGATTCTGTATATGTCATGGCTGCCGTCCTGTTTATTAATTGCTCACATCCCATGGCACAGGCCTCTTGCTCTGAGGTTTCGAGAGGTAAATGGCACCATCCTCTGTCAGCAACACATAGATGAAGGTTAATAGTTCAAAGCTTGTCTTTCTTCCTGGGCTGTAGGTGCAGCTAATGGGTGTACAGCAGCAATTGACACTTTGAAAGTTCGCCTATATTTTGACATGATGTAATAAAAACTGGCTGTGGCATATACATATAAATCCGAGAAAAATAGCCCAAACAAACTTAATCAAGATCAAGCCAGTACCTGGCTGGAAAAAAGTGGCACAGACATATCACTCTAACTCCTAAAGATATCTTCATGTGATCACAGCACGAAGTAATCATTAGGATGAAACGGCCATAACAAGTGGTGCAGAGAAGCTCTTGTGATGTTTTGCAGAGGAACATTGTGGACCCCTTATTTGCTGCTGCGAAACAGCACAGTCACCCTACAAGCCTTATTCACAAAGCTGCGGTCTGTTCCTGTAAAGCTTTCTTCACCACACCAACTTCCATTGTCAATTTTCCTGTCCCTGTTGTATAAATGGTCGAGTACTTTTGTTTTTCCTGAATGTACCCACTTCACGAGAGTTATAGGCTATCGAGAAAATTATTCCCATGTACTGTTATCCACAATTAGGCTCAGAGAAAAGCATGGCAATTTCACGCATGCTTTGATACATTTTTCTGTGAAGTTACAGGGTGAACTTATTTAAAAACACAATGACTGCCAGCAGAAATTGTTTCTCTACAAAACCGGGAAATGAAAGAGTGTCTGGCACTTTGAATACCAGGTCTTTTTTATCTCAGCAGGACAAAAATTCAGAAGCTCCGTAAATGCACCTTCCGAAGCTACTGCGAAATCCTTTCTTTTTTAGGGCTTACATAGACTTAGGAGAGATAGCGGCAACTTAGCTGATGTAAGATAAAAGTTTTTCTGCACAAGAAAAAGTGGAACGTATGTATTCCGCAAATTCATTCTGGCCCGCAATTGTAGTGAGTGTTTGTTTTACGCATTTAACCGAGTTTCTTCGCTGTTCTAACATACTCATCGCTGATTTACTTGTATGCATTGAAATCACGGGGGCAAAAAGAAAAGCACTAAAGTGGCATGCACAATTGTAAACACTGTCATCAACATTGCTGTTGAACTTGTAATTTGCTGCAGCCAAGAGCAACTCGATCAACTGCTTTCATAGAGTAAACTAGTATACTGCTGGACGAGTAGTTCGTATGATGTGCTGGGCGAGAAGCAAATTGAATGCAGCGAGCTATCCTGACAGGAAGTTGGCTGTGCCTTCAGAGCATTGTGTGGTGGCTCAGCCCGATGTACATGAAAGTGGGTCAAAGTACAGTATCCACAAAGACAAATGCATCATAAACGTCACTTGGCTGATTGTTAAATTACTAATACGCTGTGCTGAACCATAACTCCTTTGTTGCAGGATATAGATGTGTCTAATACCAATGTGTGAGAAAGATTACTGTATCTTGAACACTGCCAGATCGTGCATTTGAGAGCACTGCATCCTGACATAATCAAAGTTATAGGATACTATGATATTTACTCAAATGTAATGAAATTCTTTTCCAGATATTTGCTACCTGAAGTCCAACTCTCACATTACAGTCAAATACCGAAATTCAAGCAGTCTAAAAGATGCAATGACACAAAAAATTCTCTTTTTTTGTTTATTTCGCTTCTGAATGGAATAAAAAGACACCTCTCGCATTACAATCACGGTCATGCTGCAATTAAGTAATAATGTTAATACAGTCTATGAAACCAACAAGTTTACAAACTACATTGAATGCATCTTTTACCATATGTAGGCACACCCTACGACATTCCAAATTTAATTTGTGACCTAAATGCAATGGAAATGAAAAGAAATCATGAATATGTGTGTCATACACATAATACACAATAGAGTGCAGACTATTTATAACGTAACCGCTTGTAGTGCAAGACCGGTTACAACGCAGTCATTTTCGGCTACTGTTTTAACTCCCATAGAATCCCATTCATATGCATACCACTTAAGGGGACCCTGAAAAACTTTTTCAAGTAACCATGGAATGAATTCAGAGGAAGAGCTTATTGCCTCTGGAATTCAACACCACAAAAATTTTAAGAATTCGTCCAGTGCGAGTGGAGTTATAAAGGTTTGTCGCCTACTGGAATTGCATTCTCTCTTCTCTCGTCCTGGCAAAAGCACTGGAAGCTAACCAGGGAGGGATGGCAGAGCCACAGATAAACCTCACGCACGCTTTGCGACCTTGAGCACTTTTTTTCTTTTTTTTCTTCGAATGCGCTGCTTTTTAAGTGTGATCGCGCACGCATGCGTTGACAAGTAGTGGCCTTTTGCAGCAATCTCTGTAACGAGCGAGCACGGCATGTTCAAATCAGCCAATTGCTGATAGATGGGTCGTTGACGTGTGATTTTTGGGAATATAACGTGATTTGTCGAGACAAGAGAAAACAACTTTTACCTGACTTTGATAATTTATTGTGAATTTCAGACAACGTGATCTGCTATAATAATTGACTCGCGTGTTTACCGTCGAAAAATCTATGACAAACGCGATAACGAGTGCGCTTCTCAAAAGAAGTGCGCTGGGGACCGAGTGACCAGGTCATTACGGAATGGACGTGGAGTGAATGAACAAGAGGCGGAGGGATGAAAAAGAAAATAAAAAGTACTGTGGTAGCGCTGCGTGGGCTTGCGCTGTTCGACCATAAATTCTTGCGAAGCGAGATGTAATGCCCATTTGCTTACTACGTTGCGTGTTCTCATGACATCTTCAAGTGGTCTCGTAGAAGACATCCACGTGAAGGCTTCTCTGCATTTTGGAACTGTGATCTGCCTAGTGACTTTGCACCATTTTTCATTTACTAAAACATTTTGTGTGCCTCTATGACACAAAAGAAAAAGTCCTGGCTTGTAGAATAACAAAAAGGTGAGCTAGTTGGTTAGGGTTCGTCGGGAATTATATGAAGCAGCACTAGAACACATACACGAATGAGAAAACACAGGACATGCGCATATATACAGTTCATGTCTTCTCTTTTCTCGCCTCTGTATTTGTTCTAGCATTGCCCCTCATAATTCACTACGAGTTCTGGCTTGTTCATGTTATAACATGGAAATATGGTGGATCAAATAAAACACTTGAGCTTTGTACGCATTAAGCTTTCATGTCTAAAGTACAAGCTATTGGTATGATATTGCCTAAAATTTTACATATAGTCAGCACAGCCACAGCTTCCACAGCACCGTGAAGAAACCAGCATTGGGTCCGAAAAACATGGCTGCACTGCCGGAAGCAGTTGCCACCCATCTCGACTCTATCGAATGGGTGCCGCGTGCTCTGTAGCAGACTAAGACGCTTCCAGATGTGCAACAGCCAAAACAAAATTTGGAGCAGCAAAATGATACTTTTGGAACACTAAGCACTAAATTTGGAACATGATACGGGGAAAAACACAGACCTTTTGATTATCCAGGATTAAATATAGAGCTTTTAAAAAAAAAGGAAGGCTTACATTTAGAAAAAAAAGTATATGTACAAGACAATCAACCCACCTTTATTGCAGATTTAACATGAGCAATGCTATTTCAATAAACGTAGTATTCAGTATTACCCCACTGAGCAAACTAGTATGAAGTCTATATTAGCATTTGCCACACCTGTCAAATCCTTCAACAGACTCTGAGAATTTGAATGTGGCTCTGCCAAGCAAGCGGCCTTAAAATTCGGAAGATTCATAATACCGCAAAGTAGGGGTGGTGACAAAAAAAACTGGCACACAAGCAATAGTAAACAAAACCATATGCCAGTTTTCTTTTTTGTCCCCTCACTCGCTACTGCTTTACGAATCCACTGAATTTCAAGTTTGCCAGCTTGGCAGATCCACATTTGAACTTGCAGAGTCTGTCAAAAGATTTGACAGGCATTGCAAATGAGACCTTAATCATTGCTTGAACTGTGAGGTGGTTGAAAATACTGATTTTAAGAAACAGCGGTGCTCTCGAGCACTAGGCACGATTTTGGGGATTCTGAATGGTTTGTAGATATTTTTGCTTTCTAGAATTAAGCCTTTTTTTTTAAATTGCTCTGAATTCGGGATATCATAGTAAAAAATTCATGTTCTTCACCGCATGCTGGCGCAGAACTCTCTTCATCTCCTGCTGCGGCTCCCTCTGCTGCTGGCTTATATGCACTTGCCCTGGATTATAAAAATTTCTAGTCGTTTCGTCAGCGGAGTGCATAGTCAAGGCTGTGGAAAGGACGAAACCTCTCTCGTAGCCTGATGCAACTCTCCATCACCACTCCCATTCCTTTGAGATTTTTCCGCAGATCGCTCTGCCGCAGATGGGAGGAGGTTCGTCGGCGTGGCTACGGCGCTTTTGAGGGAGAGAGGCGGTGCGCCCAAGAAGTCTTTTGATGCTTGTTTTCTTTTTTTTTTTTACGCTGGCTTCTGCCGTGCCGAAAAGGCGCCCAGTAATGTCGCTGTCGCGAATTGCAACTCATGATTACGGAGTTAGACAAGGAGAGCAGAAAAGTGGGTCTTAAAATTAATCTGCAGAAAACGAAAGTAATGTACAACAACCTCGGCAAAGAGCAGCGCTTCGAGATAGGTAATAGTGCACTTGAAGTTGTAAAAGACTATGTCTACTTAGGGCAGGTAATAACCGCAGAGCCGAACCACGAGATTGAAGTAACTAGAAGAATAAGAATGGGGTGGAGCACATTCGGCAAGCACTCTCAAATTATGACAGGTAGATTGCCACTATCCCTCAAGAGGAAGGTATATAACAGCTGTATCTTGCCGGTACTTAGCTACGGAGCAGAAACCTGGAGACTTACAAAGAGGGTTCAGCTTAAATTGAGGACGACGCAGCGAGCAATGGAAAGAAAAATGGTAGGTGTAACCTTAAGAGACAAGAAGAGAGCAGAGTGGATTAGGGAACAAACGGGGGTTAAGGATATCATAGCTGAAATCAAGAAGAAGAAATGGACATGGGCAGGGCATGTAGCGCGTAGACAGGATACCCGCTGGTCATTAAGGGTAACTGACTGGATTCCCAGAGAAGGGAAGCGGGTTAGGGGGAGACAGAAGGTTAGGTGGGCAGATGAGATTAAGAAGTTTGCGGGTATAAATTGGAAGCAGCAAGCACAGGACCGGGTTAACTGGCGGAACATGGGAGAGGCCTTTGTCCTGCAGTGGACGTAGTCAGGCTGATGATGATGATGATGATGAATGTCGCTGTCACTAAACTTCGGAGGCAAGCATTTTTCTGAGCGCCCGTTTGTGACAGTGGGCGTGCACGTTTCGGTGAATCACAATTGTTGTTGTTTCTCAGTTATTTATGGTAGGTTTTAAATTCCTACACAGAGGCCTCAACTCTCATTGGTTTACTTTGTGTATGTGTCATACCGAATGGGTTCAAGAGCGGATTTAGAAACTTTTACACCTACGAGCTGGAGTGTGTTGAACTTGACAATAAACTATATTTTCTGCCTCTTGCGAACCAGACATTTCACTGAAGTACGTAGAGTTTCAAATCGTCAAAGTTGTGTCCTGCTACGTACACTAAAATGCTGTGCCACTGCTTTCGGTAATGTCTTTGCCGTGTCTGCACGATGAGTGTTTAATCTGACACTAATAAGCTGTCCTGTTTTGCCGATGTACTGTTTATTACAGTATGAACATTCAATCATGTAGATAAAATTTGCACAAGTAGATAAAACTAATTTCATATGATGAACATAATCAATTACAGTACTTTTAGCTATCATGTCATCTTCAAGGACTTTGCAAGTCTTGCATGTTGAATGGGAGCTATGTGTTATTTGGGCAGTAGAATGCGAGCTTACTTTTGCATGCACTAACATGTCATTAAAATTCTTATGATGGCAATACACAACCTCTCGTACTTGGGGAAACACTTTTCTAAGGCACTCGTTGCTTTCCAGCATTGGATAATACTTACAAAAGATATTATTTATGTTTAGGAGCACATTAGAGTTGTTGGTTATTAATGCTGGCAGCTGATTGTGTTGTGCTACGGGAGTCCTTTTAGCTAGTGTCGTTTTTCTATCTTGTTTACACGCTTCAATGTAGACCTTGTTTAGCGTGTCTTACGGGTAATTTCTTTGAACTATTTTTCCTTTAGATTGCTCAAGTGGTGAAGGTATTCACTGTTGTTGCTGCAAATCCTTCTTATAACCTTTGCTTGTCCGACAAAAATACCTCGTTCGCAGTGTCACAGGTGGTGACAAGTGTAATCTAGGTATTGTTGGCTCTCTCTCGGTTTTCTGTAAAGTTTGTCTTTAATTTTCTTGCTTCAATAGATACTGTCATGTACTAGGAAGTCAATTTCTTCGGGAGACTGGTGCATGGTAAATTTAATATACTAGAGTGAAACGTGTTACAGTGATCAACGAATGCATTTATGTCCTGTTCCCATATAATAAACATGTCATCTAAGAAGCTGAGATAAGTAGAAGGCTTTGCTGGGGATGATTTAAACAGTTCTGATTCCAAGTGTCCCATAAAAATGTTGGCCTATGTTGGTGAAAAAGGGGTTCCCATACTAGTGCCGAAACTTTGTAGGTAGTAGGATGAATCAAATTCTAAATTATTAAGCGACAGGATTAATTCAAATAACAAGAAGTAAACTTCAGCATTATGTGTCTCCTTTCTTTTTATGAGTGACTTTGACACCGCATGAATTTTTTCAGTTATCGGTATATTTGTATACATAGCGCATACGTTTAATGTTACCAGAATGGCCAGATCTGAAATTGTTGTGAAGATGCAGCACTGTGCATGACACACAGTGCTGCATCTTCTGCTCTCAAGACCTGCTTAATCCTCTGATGAAAAATTTTGGCATTTACGGTGACCTGGTACATGCAGAGGCGTGTACAGAATGCTGGCTTACCATACGACAGTGCCAACACCTTGTGAGGCTTCAGACGACTTCAACCATGGAAACATTTTTTTGTTATCAACGAATGTGCTAAATAGAAGTAATGTTAAGAAAGGCAACCCAAATGGTTTGCCTTTGATATTAGGCAACTTCTAATTATACCGGCAGTGAAGTAAGCTTCTGAAATGACAATTCAGTGCATCTTAGTGCTGCCAGGTGGCCTCACCTATCTGGCCTCTTACAGCTACCGTCACCTGGTATTGTGCCAATGTAAAGAAGTGTGAGGACAAACCAAAATTATTTTGTATCAGCTTTGCAGATTCACTTGACGATGCAAAGCATTTTACAAAACGCCTGCAAGCTGGGCAAGTTTGGCAATGCTCAAAGCAAAGCAAGCATGGGTTCACAGCCGACATACTCTAGCGTTGCCAGTGATGCAGTAGTGCTGCCGCTCCCTTCAACACTTTGATTTTTCCTATTCAGCGACATCAGTGTCAACCATGGGGCTCTGTTAGAACAGCAAGAATATAGGCACACTTCGGAAGTGAACTCAAATATATAATAAACACCTGCTGCAACCAATACTTTGTGAGGAGTGTTTTTGTGTACAGAGGAAGCCTACAGTGGGCTTCTTACAGCCTCGATATCCGGAGCGTCAACCCCTTCAAGATACGAATGAACTTAGTGCTAAGCCTCACCCTTGCCGTACTCCGCGTGTCAGCCCGAAAGTGCAATCTGGAGGCACCTCCTTGGCGTGGCCGCAGCCGTGGATGGTGACTGGGTGACTCGACTAGTGGCAGCAGCACCAGCACTGACACGCCACTAATGGCAACAATCACCACCAGGCAGCACCACAATCTGCAGGTGGAGCACACCCAGCAAAACAATTGCAAAAGCACTGTCAAAGTGAAACCAGACGGTGATATAGGCTCACAGTCCACTCAAACACATAAAATTCATGCTCACAGTCTACTCAAACACACAAAATGGCAGCCTCTGAGTCACATACCAGCCAGGTGCTTCAGCAGTTCCGATGGCGACTTTGTCAAGGGGGTTTCTCTCAAAAGATGTTATGTCTAGCGTTCACATCATGTGACCGAAGCCTAATGCCACACCGTTACACTGTTGGAACAAACTAGCCAGGACCTGTAAACTGCATATGCTAGAATCCTAGGCAAGAGCCCCCTCCCACCATTTCGGTGAAAATCTAATGCTCAGTTGCAAATCAAAATTTGAGATGCTGGTGGAAGAGCCTCAATGAAAGATGCTCCCCAGTGTTTTTAATGAAATGTTTTAATGTGAATACACATCCATTCAATGTTTTTACTTAAAGGGGCACTCCAACATTTTTGAACTGTTGTGACTTCCTTTATTCATCCCTCGCAGCAGAAGAGCAGTCATCATAATTATTGAGCCTCCTCATGAGCTGACACTTGGCCTCGTGGCAGCGCCGGCTCACCCTTGTCTTTTCTTTCTGCTTGAGTTCCATTAAAGCTTTTCATCTGGCAAGGCATGTTTTTTGCTTTATGTGAGCCGCGTCACAGCAGAAAGGCTCAGAGGTTCAGCACATGGTGCCGAAAACCTGGGATCTTTGACGACGCCAGCATCATCGACGTTAGGAGCCCCAAAACCTCGGAAGACAGTGCCTGCGATCTTGACGAGATACATCGACTGCGGGCGGCAGAATGGAACGATATCTTAGACGACGCCACCACCTGCGGTCCCAACTAGATGTCCTGTTGTCCGAGACGGAAGACCACTTGCGAGGAAGTCAAGCTGTCACGACAGCAGCACTAAGTGTATTCCTCGACCGAATAAGCTCATTTTATGGTCAGATAGAGAAAGTGGATGAGGCAATTTTTCAAGAGACGCCAGACGACCTGTTCGACAGCGAGACGTTAGACGCTGGAGAATACCGCGACAAGGTAGTTACTCTCACAGCGAATCGACGAGTCATGCTGAATGAATAAATGCCTCCTCCAGCCCCACTCCTCCAGCCCCGGTGTCGTCGTCAGCAAACGTTCGTAAACTGAGGCAACTTTATGACAAGGTACAGGTTCATATTCCAAGCCTCAAGGCGCTTGGCACAAACTCGACAACTAATTGCTCCATGCTTCGAGAAATCCTGCTAAGAGTTCTACCGACGGACATGGTGCTGCGTTTCCACGAGATGCACAAGGCATCCTCGTCGGCTGCATCCTCTTCGAATACGCAAGACAATTCAAAGTGTAACGGTTCCAGAAGATAACGATCTTCGAATGCTCTGGAATTCTTCGAACTTCAACTCACTTGTCGGGAAGGTGTTGCTGAACAAGACGTAATGGAAATTCGTCCCGCCCCAGATAAGGGAGAACTAAAACACAGTCATCCACGTGACATTTCTGCGACAGCTGCTCTACAAAGCTCAACAAAAAGTCCACAACAATGTCTGTTCTACGGGTCTGAAAAGAATGCTGCCGAAGTCTGTCATACAAAGAATATTGACTTCTCAAATGAAAGGGAGATGCTCATCAAAGCGGGACGATGCTTTGGTTGCCTAAAGCATGGCCACATGGCAAAAGATTTGAGAGGCCGGTTAAAATGTGGCAAGGGCGCAAGAAGGCACGCAACATCTTTTTGCACATCCGACGACATCAAAAACGACAAGAAGGTGATATCTGCATCGGTCAATCTGGTGTCCAAGCAGGCAAGGTCAGTCATAATGCTGCAGAGTCTGACAGCCACCGTGTTGGGTGCAAAATCATCCTGGCCGCTACTGATTCCTTTTTGACTGGCGAAAGCCAGTGGAGCTTCATTACAATCAAAGCTTATGGAAGACTTGGATGCGAACTAATAGAAAAGAAAACGTTAGCCATCGGTGCATTCGGGGGCGATAACATACGGAAAACCATGAAGAAGGGACGTGTATCGATTCTCCCTGCGAACCAGAAGTTTCCGATTTCAATAGAGGCGCTAGTGGTGGACAAGATATGCACTGAATGCATTCCGGTACCAGAAGAAAACGTTATAAGAGAAATAAACAAGACGCACTTGGATACGCGAGCTCTCTCTTACAAGGAGTAGAAGACAAACAGATTGCGGTCCTTATTGGATCGGACTACTATCGGAATATAGTAACTGGTACCGTGAAGCCTGTGTTCAAAAAGTTGAAAGCTGTCAAAACGAAACTGGGATGGACTGTGCAAGGACCATTGTCTACTGCAGCCGATGTTACACAGGGTGCCACTATTACAGTCCTACGATCTAGAGTGACTGAGCAAGATATCTCGAAACTTTTGACTCGTTTTTGGGATATAGAAAGCACCGGAATCCAGGCCGAAAAAGAAGGAACGACGGTTGCCCAATCCGTGCTGGCAAATTTTGAGAACAGCATCAATAAGAAAAGCAATCGATATAAAGTGGCACTACCGTGGAAGGAAAGGGTTGCTCTGGGTGAAAACTACGCACTTGCACTCGAACGTACGCACTTGCACTCGATGAAGAAGCTTAACAAAAACAGTGAGCTCTTAAAACAATAAGATGCAACTATTCTAATGTACCTCGAAGAAGAATATGCTGAAAAAGTACCTACAAAAGAAGACCAACCATTTGGACCCAGGTATTATATGCCACATCGAGCCGTAATACGTGAGGACTGATCTTCGAAGGTACGCATTGTGTTCGACGCTTCGTCTCACGAATCCGGGATGAAGTCCTTAAACGACAATCTAGAAGCCGGCCAAAATCTAAATCCCGACATAGTGACGCTACTGCTTCATTTCTGACGCTACAAGATAGCAATAAATGCTGATGTTGAAAAAGCGTTCCTTCAAATTGGCCTGCAAGAACACGACAAAGATGCTCTTCCCTTCTTGTGGTTCAAGACTTCACTTTAAGTGGACAGCCCACTGCCAGAAATAAAAGTTTAGAGAATGACGACAGTGCCCTTTGGAGCTATTTCAAGTCCTTTCCTATTGACTGCTACCTTAAAGCACCACTTCAGGTCCGAAGAAAATGGCTTTCCTTCAACAGCCCGGCTATCGCAAGACTCCATATTTATGGATGATCTTATTGGTGCTGACACCATTGAACAAGCTATTCAAATGCATAAAGCGATAATTGAAATCTTCAAAGATGCTTCGATGAACATTCGTAAATGGGCCAGCAACGACCCTGTTGTATCTGCCGTCTTCGTACAAGGAATCACTTTTTCCGAAAAATCACTTTGCTCACCTTCTGGACCTCTGAAAGTCCTGGGACTTTATTGGAACAAGCAGACGGATACCTTTCCATTTAGGCTCCAGGATATTATACAGTTTATGAAGGAGCATCGAATTACCAAACGCTTTGTGCTCCAGGCCAATGCAAGGATCTACGACCCTTTGGGGGTTTTTGTCACCCTTTCTAGTAAGGGCGAAGGTCTTCCTAGAAGATCTCTGGAGGGAAAACCTCGGCTGGGATGACACCATGCCAATGAAGCTGTCAGCTGTTGGGAAAAAATGGAGTGTGAGAAGAAGATGTGCTTGCAGCGAGCAGCATCGCCAGCGCCCGGCTCTCTCGGCTCGTGCTTCGGTTCGCTGCTGTGCCGGTCTCTGCTGAACGGTTCATTACGCTGTCTTGCCGTTATCGTTAACGACTAATAAACCTCTTCACATTTGGTGGAGGGTGCTGTTTATCCCGCTTGCTACACCCTGGAGCTGCGAAGCCGCACGCTACTCCCCGTCATGACTGACAACGCCAACCCATCGGCGGCGTCGCCCCAGTTCAACTGTCCCGGCCATCCTAGGCTACGGGACACAAAGGTCTTCAGCGGTGCGGATGGGACCGACGTGGAAGACTGGCTCGAGCACTACGAGCTGATGAGCGCCAATAACAAGTGGGATGAAGCCCACAAGCTGGGCTAAGTCATATTTTATCTCACTGGCGTCGCAGAATTGTGGTTTAACAATCACAAACACAACATTCCCACATGGAGCGTCTTCAAGACGTCATGTGCCGAAGTGTTCAGTCGGCCGGCTGTCCGCAAGCAGCGGGCAGAACAGCGCTTGCGTGTCCGCTCTCAGCAGACTGGAGAAAATTTTACCAGCTATATTGAGGATGTCGTTGACCTTTGTCGACGCGCGAATGACACCATGCCCGAGTCGGACAAGGTCAAATATATCCTGAAGGGCATCGACGATGGCACGTTTTAAATGCTCTTGGCTAGAAATCCGAGCACAGTTTCTGAAGTCGTCAGCTTGTGTCAGAGCTATGACGAGTTGAAGAAGCAACGCACTCTGACTCGGCAGCCTCAGCCTGGTGGTGAGTCGCTGTCCAGTTTCGACTCCATGCCTGACAATTCACCATTGCTTCAGCAAGTCCGAGCATTCGTCCGTGAGGAAGTCGCCCGCCAACTTTCCCTAGTGCCCTTTACTCACGAGACCACCGACCGTCCACGTGCCCCGCTTCGCACTGCTATATCGGAAGAGGTTGCACAAGCTGTTCTTCTTGCGCACTACAAGCCACCTCTATCTAGCCGTGTTAACTACCCGGGTGTCGCACAGCCGGTAGGGGCTCCTGTCGCCTATCCGCCAGCCGTTCAGCCTGTGGCCACGCCCCTAACCTATGCAGCGCAGCCTGTGGCTCCTCCTGTCACCTTTTCGCAAGAGATGCAACCCGTAGCTGCGCCGCTAACATAAGCAGACGCTGTGCGTAGGCTTCCGCAACCGCCCTACACCACGCGCTCAGAGTCCGCACACCCGGCTGCTTATACTGCACCTTAGGCAGCAGCACCAGTCGCCAATCCTTGGAGGACGCCCGATAACCGACCGATTTGCTACGCCTGCTTCACTCTCGGACACGTTGCCTGCTAGTGCCACCGTCAACCTCAGAGGTTCGGC